AGTAAAAATCAGAATATTATGATCTCCACCATTTAAATCACATAGTAGAAGGTGACCAGGAAAAAGAGCCCTGTAACTTCAGGAGAAGGGTCCCCCCCCCCCCAAAAAAAAAAAAACCTCCTTTTTCTTTCCACTCACAAAGGGGTTGCAGTGAGCAGGCCGAGGCGACTTTTACCAAAAACACAGGTGTGTACAAAGTCGTGAGAGCATGTATGGGGGTTGAACCCTGCCCAGTGCAGGAAGGTTAAGGAAGGAAGGTTGGAATGCCCGTTGGCATTTATTATTCAATCCAATTCACCCGACCCGATAGTACATACCCATTTTGGGAGATAAGAATCTTATAGGCTTTTACTCTGGATGCAACACACAGCCAAGAATGAGGTGGCGAAAATTTTGGTTCTTTCGTGTATTCTTTCCATAATTTCCAACGTGCTTCTTTGATTTGGATGGCTAAAACAAGGAAAAAGCTTTATGAAGTTATTGTGTGCCAGTGTTGTTTAAGGCAATTTTAGAGCGAGACTATGGACGGATATGGGAGATTCACAGTAGGCAGAGGGAAGAGCTTTTATGTGATAAAAGTCAGAGATTGGTCTTCACTTTGTGATTCAATGTCCACTGAGTTTCGGGATATTTTGTTTTCTTCTATTTTGGAAGATTCCAAAGCAGCTGTTCGTTAAGAGTCAATTAGCATGTTTAGAATTATGTTAAATGCAGATTTTATAATAAATACTCTGGCGGTACTTGTTTCTGTTCTCACTAATACAGTTTCATAATAAATAAATAACCGCTATGGGGGTGACCTTTTTGTGATAACGCAGCTCTCACCCCTATGCCTGATACATCACATTCCACGTTTACTCCCTTCTGACCTTACCTTTAGGGAACTAATGCCCTTGATGTTTAGGTTCTTTCTAATCATGACCCTTTTCTTGTTTCTTTTGTTTGTGTCTGGTCTGTTGTGTGTTTTTTAAGGCTTGTCCAGCCTAATTCCACCTAGTGGCCAATTCAACCAACAGAGAAAGCAACCCTAGCCCTTAGGGCAAGCACTAAGTACGTAAACTAGCTTCTTGAATGAAACAATAACCCATCTCTCTTCGTATGTTTCTGCAATATAAAACTGACTAAGAGACCCGCTAAAGTTATCAACTTTTTGATGTAGCAGCTTACTTTTGAGAAGATATTGCAGCTTACTTGCACATAAAGTGCAAATGAAATGCTTTGAACATCAGAAAACAAGAACCCTAGTGCATTCTACAAAGACATATCATTTTCTAATTCCCAATCCCATCCCAACTGAACTAGTAAACTATTGCATCAAAATACACAAACTTTACAGTAAAAGCCTGAAACTTCAACCATGAAATTGAAACTTCAACCATGAAATTAAGCCACAATTACAAATTGAATGTTATACACACCTTATTCCCTGATTACTCCACTGCACAAGAATGCCCTTAGTAACCTCAGGCCCGAAAACCATCGAAAACAGCTGCCTTGCATCCTCTTCGCTCAACCCCTTTCCCAAATTCACTTCCTCCAAGCTCAATTCCTTATCTTTCGTCGCCACCTTTGGCGCCAAACCCGAACCGGAACCCGCAGACCCCGACAACACCTTGCTAGGTGAAGCCGAAGCCGAAGGCGGACACGTATTGGTGTCCAGCATTCTCTTCTCAGCAGCAGCAGCCATGAGCTCCCGCTGAAGTCTCCGGGTCTTCACTTCCGACGGCTCCTCAGCCGGAGCTCCGGCGGGTCCGTCCCTGGGCTTGCTACGCTTGGGCTCCGGAGGTGAATTCTGCATACTCATCCGAAGTGCCATTCGGAGGTCCTCCTCCTCGTGATCCGCCATTGGAACCCTTTAGGATCCAAGGCTCGATATTTAGGGTTCCGATTCCAAATCGCACAGCAAAGTTTGAGATTTGAAGAAGGCGGAGGAGGAGGAGGAATTGGAATTCAAAACCCTCGATGGGAGGGTTACGCGTTACAAAAGCCAGACATGGAAACAACGAATGAAATCATGAGACAACGAATTCCAGCCCATTTACGATGCGAAACGGTGCGTAGAGGGCAGCAACAACCGCAGGTGGATCCATCCAGTAAATTTACTATCAAGGTCTTGAAGTTTAGTTTTACGGTTAATATATATGAGGGTACTTTTGTCAATTTGGAGTGTCGAGTAAAATTAGAAGTTAACAGTAAAGTGGCCAGTGATACCTTTCCTTTCATGGTAGCAAAGCAAAACCCGTTTCCAGTTGAATGAATCTTTAAAACTTGTTTTACCACCTACTTTAAACGTGCTTTCGTGCATGTGAAATATATTTTTTTCTTTACATTTGCGACAGGGTATATGTTTGCTCTTAAATTTGACTGTCTACGTGATCAACAATGGTATCTAATGAGTTTGATGAAAAGGTTAAAGCGTGTATATTGTATCTTTTATCCGACATTTTACATAATCGTTTCATTTTAACTGAAAAATAAATAAGAAAAGTGTATTAAAATCACTAACTCATTTTGTTTTGGAAGGATAAGATGAAAGAAACATATAACAGCCCAGTTATTTTGAGGCTCTAGTGTAATTTATCAAACTGTTTGGATGAAAAATGAAAGATTTTAGCACAACAACTAGGCACCATTCGTAAAGTTATCCTGTCACCACTTGCTTTAGAGTAAACCCTCACTTGAAATAAGCTGCCTCCTTTTGACAAGACATCCCACCACTCACCACAATTTTCAACTCTCAATTTTAACTTCAAGCACAACAATGTCGTCGATCCCAACAAATTAAACCACCACCTAGCCGACCAGTTGCAATTTTTCCCGCCATACCACTGCCTCAACTCCGGCGAATTCCGAAGCAGCGTACCGAAAAGTAATGGAAGATGATAAAAGCATTTTGGTAAGGCCTAATAAGAGAAATGCTCTCCGTGGTTATAAAGTATTCGGAAGATAACCTTTAGGGGGCGTTTGTTGCGCCGGACTATCTCGGACTGGATTAGCTTCAAGGACTAAGCTGGACGGCTTAGACTAGACTAAACTAGACTAACTTAGTGAAGCGTTTGGTGCAGTATTGGACTAAGAAGCTGGATAATAACAAATTATAATATTATATTATTTAATATATAAATTATTAATATTTTATTATGATCTTATCTTTTTCTTCATTTTTTCCTACCATTTCCTCGTTAAATCAGATGAAGTTAGCACCGCCAAAAAATTCATCACCATCCCTAGACCGAGATCTTAGCTTTGAATGCTCGAATCTGTCATGGATTTGAAGAAGCCCAAACAGGCCGAGACTTCCAGGCCATTTTCCAGTCACATTCGACCACATTTTGGCCTCGATTCAGGTAAAATCGTAATATTGTCACTCCCAGCTTCAATTTGGTATATTTTGTATGAAAGTTGGTTGTGAAATGGATCTGAAAGAGAGTCGGAAAGTTAATGATTGATCTAGGTGACCGGAGATGACGAGGAATTTGTCAAGAGTGGTCGTTGAGCATGACGAGGACGAGAAAGAGAGGATAGTCTTAGCTAGTCCCATGGTTATTGGGGGGTCTCGCTAAGACCTCTTAGTGAAGGGTTTTGTCCATGCTAGTCCCCTTTAGTCTCATTAATGTTAGTCCCAGCATGGAACAAACACAGTATTGGACTAATAGCTAGTCCAGTCCAATCCAGTCCAACTTAGTGAGGGCAAACAAACGCCCCCTTATGGTAAAAAAATTTGGATTTAAACCCTTATGGTCTAAGTCTGTTAGGATTTATGCCCAAAATTGAAACTTCTGTCATTCCTCCGTTAGTAGTATGCATGTGAGTCTCATATGTGGGGATCATTTCATAGTTAGTAGCATACCAATAGCTTAGCTAAAACCCTCACGTTCCCAATTCTAAAGCACGAACAAAATTCGTTTATTGAAATTAGAGGTTTGGTTTGTTTTTGAAAAGCCACATCGATGGCTAAGCGAAGAATTGAGGGGGACGTCGCACCAACATACTCAAGTATTGCTGCAATCTCGATAACTTTAGGTGATTGTATAATTTGAAAATGGTTTGTTCGTAATCGTATCCATCATGTGCGGTTTTATGCTTGAAAGTTTTTTTTTTTTTTCCAATCGGTCTCCTCCTGATTACACTTCAAAGGTTTTTTTTTTTTTTTTTTTCCAGTCGGTTTCTTCTTTTTTTCCAGTCGGTCTCCTCCTTATTATGCTTGAAAGTTTTTTCTTTTTTCCAATCAATCTCCTTATTAGTGGGAAGAAGGCAACAAAAAGGAAACAAGCAGAGCAACTAGAAGGCAAAAAGCCAATTAGTTGTTCAATCAAAGAATTCAGTTGTGCACCCAGATGCGATTTCAGTTCTTGATGTCTTTGTTTATGAATGGAGATTGACCATGGAAGGGATGAAATGAGGCATGAAATGACCATCTTATCCTCACATGTGACACTCACGTGCGCGATACTAACAGAGGAACGACGGAAGTTTCAATTGTGGGTATAAATCCTAACAGACTTAGACCTCGAGGGTTTAAATCTGATTTTTTTTACCACGGGCTATCTTTCGAATACCTTATGACCACGAAGACTATTTATCTGATTAGGCCTTTTGGTAAAATATGTAAACTGTTTAATGGTTAACGTTATTATGGGTATTTGAAAATTTTATTCATGTGAAAAGATTAAAATGGCATTACCTATTTGGGAAATCACTTAAATTGTGCAAAGATGCATAAAATCTAATTTAATCTTGAAAAATAAAATTTAAAAGAACCGATATTTGTAAAATGTCATTAGTGGTATTTTTACTCGTATATGAGACGTGAACGAAGAGTTCTTAAGTTCAATTCTTGTAAATGATAAGTTTGTAACCAGATTATTATAACCTGATCCGTTATGTATCTTAGCTTTTGTCTTTTAATATAAATATATCTTTGTATTAAATATCGTACTCGACCCAGGCCCAAAAAGGAAAAGGCTCGAGTGGGCCACGACTAAATAGTTGGCAAGTGTCGAGAGACACATTCAACAGCTCTCGAAAATATCAGGTAACGAGGGTCCAAGTTCCAGCTTCCATTTCCTCTCTCGGTTGTTTCTCTCTCTTCTGTTGCGGGATTAGAGTTAAAGCCATTGCTTCGAAGCCGACCTTTCTCTTCCAATCACAAAGGTACACTCTTTTCTTCTTGACCTCCCAATTAACCTGAAATTGTAAACAACTAAGTTCCATTCGTTTCATTGTTTTTTTTTAATTAATTTTATTTCATTGTTTTTATGCAGGAAATCTGAGATCTTTTTCGGTTCTTCTCAATGTGAGTATCTCTCTGGATTTATTTTACTTCTGCGTTTTTTATAATTTTGGTAATTATTATTAAATTTGGAGAAAAAATTGAAGATTGTATTGTGGAATTTGGATTTTAAGAAATCACATACCAAAGGGATTCCTTGGTCTTCTGAATTTCTAATAATTAATAATGATAATGGATAATGAATGGTTTCTTTTGATGAGGTATTCAATGGTCAGACTGCGTAGGGTAGTGCTATTCACATAACTCTTATTACCACCCACACACCCTCGTTTATTTTTGTTCATTGATCTTCACCAATTCATTTGTTCCAATGATCGGAATTGAGAGGGTTGTATGAGAAGTAAAAAAAAATGCGTGTGATTGTGAATTTGGGTTGGTTGGCACCAGCCCCTTTTCTTGTTCCCCTGCGGAATGATATTAGTTTGATTACAACAACAACAAAAACAAAGCCTTATCCCACTAAGTGGGGTCGGCTGTATGAATCCTAGAACGTCACTGTGCTTGTTTTTGTGCCAAGTCTTCCGTTAGATCCAAGTACTCCAAGTCTTTTCTTAAAGTCTCTTTCCAAGTCTTCCAAGGTCTTCCTCTACCTCTTTGTTCTCGAGCCTCTATCTATGATAATAGTTTGATTATTAATGGAAAAAAACACACAAAAACTGAATTTACAAAAATAGGGGTTGGTTAGTCACTTTACTTTGCTTTTTTGGATTCAAAACATTTTTCGTGCTGGGTTAGCATCTACCTGAACATGTGGATAACTCAAATCCATGAAATTTATGATCCTTCATTATTTTTCACTTTTAAGACATTATGATGCTATTTTCATAAAATGCAGCTATCGAGTTTCATTGAACAAGTGATTTCATTGCAAATTTGTACAAAAAACTTCTTAATGTAATGTTCATTAGCAATATTTGGTCAGGCATTGTGGTCGTCACAAGATTGTGTTTGTTTGTTTTTTGTTTTTGTTTTTTTTTTTTTTTTTTTTGGGTCAGAGCAAGAATGTGTTTGTCAAGGTTATATGTCGTAGTACAAACTTTAAACAGTTATACTTATTTATCCATCCTTTTGTTTACTCTATAAGGGCGGACGAGGAACTTGTTGATCAAAAGAAGTATCTTGAGGAGTCTTGCCGGCCTAAATGTGTAAAACCTCTGATTGAATATCAGGTAATGTACTGCTGCTATTACAAAAATCTGTCTTGCAACTTCTAGTACCAGGAGTTGGCGTTCGTATGAACTTAAAGTTGGATACGATATTATTTATTAAATTACTAGCTTACTTTTAGCTGTTCATAATTTTCTTCCCAAGATAGTCGTAGCTACTTGTTTGTATTATGCTGTACTTGTACCACGGCTTTTATCCATATCCGTGCTTTCTTCTCTTTACCATGGGGATTACAAACTAGAAAGGCTTCAAACATATGTTTGCATGTGGTCTGACAAGTTGGAACGTGTAAGTGTTCTATGTTTTTCCATTTGTGGAAGCAATTTGGAAATTATATATAAACACCAAATTTAAAGTTAGTAATAGTAAAGTTGTTATATGTATCAATCTAACATTACAAAAAGTGATTGTGCGAAGGTTATAGCATGAAAGTTGGCTATCAGATGATCAAGATCCGAATCGTCATAAATCAAGGTTTTAAAAGACGCTAGGCGCTAGTCGAGCAGCGAGCTGGGGCCTAACGCTTAGGTGCCTAGGCGGACTAGACAGATTAAAGTAAATCTATTATATTTCGTGTAAATAAGTGTCTGCTTATACTTAAAATATATATACTTTCATCATAAAATACAAAATAGAATGACATACATATTATGAAGCATTGGAACTATAATGAAACCATGGGGAACAAAGATATAATGCGTGTTCATTTAAGTATGCAACAAGTCTCTTATAATTTATTGAAAAAAAAAAAATGCAAAATGAAAGTTATCTATTTTTTGTCTAAGCGAGTTGCGACCTAGGCAAGTGCCTAAGTGGGTCTGGACGGGCTAGGCGGGGGGCTAGGTGGTCTAGGTGGGTGCCTTAGCAGGTCTAGTCACCCTTTCTTAATTTTCAAACGCATAGGCATTAATCGGGACGGTGGCCAACTGCCTAGCGCCTAGGCGGGATTTTTAGAACAGTGTCATAAATAAGTGATTAAACAAACTCTTTTGACATATTTAATGAGTATGTTAGGTTATCTTTTTAATCTTAAGAAGCCAATCTATTAAGAAGAAATTTATGCGTTATATAAACGAGAAGATTCAAAAGGGTATATGGGGTTCATTGAAAGATTATGTGTGAGTTGGAAAAAGAGTGAGACAATAAGATATTTATATCCTACGCAATAGAGATTGAAATTTATATTCAATGGAAGGATATTAAAAATAAAAATAAAGGACAGAGCGATGAGTTTACATCATTCATACTCTGAGGATCTTTATAAGCTGCTATATCTTGTCGTCCACTAATGAGTAAGCCTGTCCAGGAAGGGACTGCAAAAGTGTTTTATTCTGATTATGCATATGAAATTAGTTCAAGTAAGAAAAGGCAAAAGTTATAGAACATATACTACTGAAGATTTTTGTTATTTCTGAAGGGGTGTGGGTTATGGGCGTTTTTTAGGTTCAAACTTTACTCAAGGGATCAAGTCTTACATAGACAATGAAGTCCCAATCAAAATCTGTATCACTTGAACCTGTTGATATTAGGACTTGCTATTGAAATTGAATCTTACAATTTTGGAACTTATTGCGCTGTATGAAGCTCTGTGAACATTGTAATTCCGTTTCCATTACCACAGTTATGCAGTGAATATGTGGATTTATAATCAGCAAAATGATTGCCAACATTGGAAAATCTCGAGCTACTTTAACTATTATACTAGATTTAATAAACTTTTGTAATCTTTGCTTACAAAGAGTAGATGACTAGGCAATTATTTCTATTGCGCACCTGTTATTGTTCAACCTTAGAAATTATGTTGTTAAAAATGTCTTACTAGGGTCTTGATTTCTACCCCTTTTGCACCCTTCTCCCTCCTCCCATAATTGAAGTGCTTTCGATTCACAGGGTGTCTGTAATAATTTTGAGTTACAAGTTAAGTTTATGAACTTTTTCTTCCATCTTTGTTTCCTTCTTCAAAATTTGAAAAGGAAATGGACTGCTATGACCATTGGAGGTCTTCGTTTTGATATTCATGTGTTCTTCAGCGGGTACAGAAAGAGGGGCTTTTCACATATGGCTTTTCGTAATCGTACTGAAATATTTGAACTTCTATATTTATTGTAGGCATGTGTTAAGAGGGTTGAAGGTGACGACGGTGGAGACAAGCATTGCACAGGGCAGTACTTTGACTACATATCTTGTGTTGACAAATGCGTAAGTCTCATTTTATTTTGTTATGCTATATGAAATTTTTGTTCTCGCTCAGATGATGAGCATTGTTTTCTGCAATGCAGGTTGCGCCGAAGTTATTTCAGAAGCTCAAGTAACTGAGTTGAAGTTCTAGGGTCTGCCCATCCTTTAATTGTTACCCTTTACAGTGGATATGAATTTTTAACTTGCGCTACGATGTTTATTTCCAGCAACATCATTCAAATCTTGTTGAGAGGTCTTGAATTTGAATAAAAAGATGATTTTGTGAATTGGTCTTGTTATCCTACCATCAACTTGTGCCATTCTTTTACAATTATTGATTGATGAGAGGAGCGAGTATTAGGCTTGGTTTGGTATTGAGGTGATTCTGAAAAAAGTTGGTATCAAAAAAAGCTGGGAGTTGTTTTTGTGTTTGGTAAACATTTAGCTTCAGCTTTTTTTTCACAGTTTTCGTTGAAAAAAAGCCAAAAACAAGAAACTGCAAAATCCATCTTTGAAAAATCAGCTTTTTTTTTCACATGTCTTTTATATAAAAGTTTACCAAACATTGTAATATTGTTTTTTTTTTTTCAAAAGCACTTTGACAAAAAAGTTTACCAAACACTCTGCTGCTTTATTCACAGCTGCTTATTCTCACATCACAGTAAAAACAGTTTTTTTTTCAAAACATAGCAATACCAAACTAGCCTATAGTCGTGCATGGGCGCATGATGCTATAACACAGTTTATCTTTGCGAGATCTACTATTAGGCCTACCATAATCTAGGGCTGTGGTGTCTCGTACACGACTGAAGCTAGCGCAATGTGTGATATGTGACGTGCAATATTTTGGCAGTTGAGGTCGAAAATACTCACCCCCTAATGCGTTCAGTTTCCTCTTTTAAAACAAAATTCTTAGTGCTGCCTTGGAATTTAGAGAAATTTATGTGCAACTGGGTGTATTGTCTCTTGTTCTAGGAGTATTTTGCATTCTGGGTTTTTCTCTTTTATTCCCTAAAACCTGGTACTGAAATTTTTTGGTTTGTTTGGTGATTTAAAGGGTCGTACGTGTTTAAGCCATTCCACCTTGTTCACGCCCATGTTAAGTTTTGTAATTTTGTTCTCATTTAATTGATTTATTCCTAATTATTGCCAATCTAAAAGGCAACGAGCGATTCAACAATATAAATTAGGCTAGATGGCGTTTTAATAATCATGTTCATGTATCTGAATGCGGGTTTAATTTCCATTGATCATTCTTAACAAATAAAAATTTAGCTCACTAACTATATTGTTTGTATAAAAAAAAAAAAATTAATTTTAGAAATATTTGACGTGGCAAGAAACAAGAATGGATGGAATGACAAGTGTCAATTACAATAACGTAAATTAAAATGCATGTTAGTAATCTGCACAATATGTATTGTTATATAATCCAATGCGTGTTGTCCTAGTTCTTTTGCCCTATTCTTTCTTAGTTTGTACTACATCAGTATCTATGCCTTAGTTCGATTCTCCTTCTTATAGATTATAGTAATAGAATAATTAATACAGCCTTAAAAAAATTTGAAAAGCCGAGGTGAGTATTTTCTTGAAAGTTTTGGGCTAAGGCCCAAAGGTGGTGGAAAATTTTAGAAAGGCCCACAACCGCCTTTCTTTTTTTCTTAGAAAGCCTGACAGACTACACAACCCTAGAAGCTTTAAAAACAGACAAACACATTTCGTTTTCTTGTTCTCTCTCTCTCTCTCTCTCTCTCTCTCTTTGTGGATTGTAATCCATCCGAACCCGATCGTTTTCCTCCGCAATCCGTCAATTCTGTTGCTTTCACTCTCTCCTCACCGCCCCAAGTAAGCTCTCTCTCTTTCTCTCTCTCTCCAAGATACATATAAATATACGTACTTATGCGTGTGTATTTTGTTTTCTGTTGTTTTTAGGATCAGATTCTTGCTGTATTTCTTTATGGCTGTGAAAATCTAGATCTATTTCTTTAGATTTTGAAACGCGCAATAGCTATATATATTAATGTGTATATATCTGTGCGCGCGCGTTTGTTTCATCTGTGTTGATTGTGATTCTTGGTTTTGCGATAGGATTTTTGGAAGGAGGCTTCAATTCAACTGTTGCAACAGATAATATTTGTCGAAACCTAAACCTCGATGGGTCGGAAGAAGCCGACTGCTCGGGACGACGAGAACCCGCAGCAGGCTGCGGGTGCAAAGTCGAAGAAGAAAGCTTTGGTAATTGAAGACGATGAGTATTCTATAGGAACTGAGCTGTCCGAGGAGTCTCAGGCGCAGGAAGAGAAAGTTACTGTCACGGGAAAGAAGGGTAAAAAGGGTAATTCAAAAGCTTCAAAGCGCAGGGACGATGATGACTTTGATGATGTGGGAAAGGGGGACGAGGGCGAAGATGAGGTTCCCCAAGTTGCCTTCACTGGAAAGAAGAAGGGAAAGTCGAAGAAGAGTGGTGGGAATAGTGCGTTCAGCTCTTCGAGTTTTGGGCTGCTTGGAGACGAAGACGGTGATGATGATGAGAATTCTGGGTTAACTGGTGATGATGATGAGGGTGCTCCAGTGGTGAGTTTTTCTGGCAAGAAGAAGGCTTCAAAATCGTCCAAGAAAACTGGTGGTAGTTTGTTTTCAGGGTCAGCTTTTGATGCGATTGGCGATGAAGGCGATAGTGATGGTGAGGTTGTTGATAGCTCTGTGGATAAGAGTAAAGAAGATGACGATAGTGAGAATGAAGATGAGCCTGTAATTTCTTTTACAGGGAAGAAGAAGCCGTCTAAGGGTGGGAAGAAGGGTGGGAATGTGTTTGCAGCAGCTAGCTTTGATGCCCTCGATGATGCAGACGAGGATAAGCATGAAAAGAATGATGAGGATGATGAAGTTCCACAGATTACATTCTCCGGTAAGAAAAAGAAGTCATCAAAGGTATCAAAAAAGAGCGGTGCTAATTCTCTTAGCTCAGCTCTGCTTGATGAGGGGAATGATCAAGATACTTCTGTATCTGAACCAACTAGAGTTGGCGATGACACAGTTGATGATGAAGATGCATCTGTGATTGCATTCACAGGTAAAAAGAAGTCTTCCAAAAAGAAAGGTAATGGTGTTTTTACTGCATTGAGTGAAGATACAGATGTATTTGAACCAGAACAACCAAACACTGAAACTAGTAAAAGCGAAGCTGCTGATTCTAAAACTAAGATGAGTAAAGAGGTTCTAGAAACTTCAAAAAGTAAGAAAAAGAAGAAGAAGAGTGGAAGGACTGCTCAAGAAGAAGATGACTTGGATAATATTCTTGCTGAGCTAGGTGAGGGTCCTACTACATCGAAACCAGCTGAGGCTACTGTGCGAGCGGAGAAAGTTGAGGTTCAACCTGATCTGGTTGCCCCGGTTAATGCTTCTGGTGAAAAGGAAGGTGAAGAAGAGACTGGGGAGTCTGCTGCTGCAAAGAAGAAGAGAAAGAAGAAGGAGAAGGAAAAGGAGAAAAAGGCAGCGGCTGCAGCCGCAGCAGGGACTGCTACTGCTCCCGTGGTCACTAAGGATGATAAACAAGAAGAAACCCAAATTGAACTTACGGATCCCAAGAAGAAAGAAGTGAAAGGTAAAGTAGCAGATAAGAAACTTCCAAAACATGTGAGGGAGATGCAAGAGGCTCTTGCTAGGCGACAGGAACTGGAAGAGAGGTTGAAAAGGGAAGCAGAGGAGAAACAGAGGAAAGAAGAAGAGGAGCTGCGTAAGCAGGAAGAACTTGAGAGGGAAAAAGAGGCGGCCAGAATTCTGAGAAAGGAAAGGGAAAAGGAGAAGCTGCAAAGGAAGAAACAGGAAGGCAAGTTTTTAACGCCGAAGCAAAAAGAAGAACAACGTCGGCGGGAGGCAATGAGAAACCAGATACTTGCTAATGCAGGGGGTTTGCCTCTCCCGACGGCAGACAATGAGAAAAAGGCTAAACGGCCCATGTATCAGAAAAAGAAGACAAAAGCAGCACCCATTCATGCAAATGGTGCAGCTTCTGCGAAGCCAGTGGAAAACCTAGAAGAGGGAGGCCAGCTGGACACTATCCCTGAGCCAGAGTCTGGGGAATTTGAAAAAGTAGAAGATGTAGAGTCAGTGGATCTGGAGGAAAAATCTGAAGTTGCTGAATCGGTTAAAGATAATGGAGTGGAAGAAGAAGAAGAAGAAGAAGATGATGATGATGATGATCCATGGGATGTTAAGAGCTTTGATGATGTTAGCCTTTCTGTTAAACGTGGATTTTCTGATGAAGAGATTGACTCTCAACCTGTTGCAAAAAAAGACATAAAGAGTGCAGGTGCCAAGCCATCAGTTTCTGCCCAGAAAACCGTTCCTTCTCAACCAATAAAATCTCAGGATGGTGAAAATAAGAAAAAACAACCTGATAATGATGTTGACAAAAGTAAGAAGAAAGATGTTTCTGTTAAAAAAGCAGCGGCAACTTCTAATGCTGACCCTAAAGAAAGTGGAGATAACCTTCGTTCACCTATTTGCTGCATAATGGGCCATGTTGATACTGGTAAAACTAAGCTGCTGGATTGTATCAGAGGCACAAATGTTCAGGAAGGTGAGGCCGGAGGTATTACTCAGCAGATTGGAGCAACATATTTTCCTGCTGAGAACATCCGTGAGAGGACCAAGGAACTGAAAGCTGATGCGAAGCTGAAGGTCCCTGGTCTGTTGGTCATTGATACCCCTGGGCACGAGTCATTCACTAATTTACGGTCACGGGGCTCAGGTTTATGTGATATTGCTATATTGGTGGTTGATATTATGCATGGCTTAGAGCCTCAGACAATAGAGTCACTCAACCTTTTGAAAATGAGGAATACGGAATTCATTGTTGCGCTGAATAAGGTGAGGTTTATGGTCAAATCTACTGTCCAGATCTCTAATACTGTCGTCTCATAAATGTTTATTTATGTATTCTGGAATATCAAATTTTTAGGTGGACAGACTCTACGGATGGAAAACCTGCCGCAATGCACCAATTGTGAAAGCAATGAAGCAACAATCTAAGGATGTACAAAATGAGTTCAATATGAGGCTCGTACAGGTCTTGTGTACTGCAACTTTGTCTTTTGTTCACTTTATTTGCTTGACCTTTTGTGGTTCTAAAATTTCAATTGTTTGTATGGTTTGCCAGATTATCACTCAATTCAAGGAGCAGGGGTTAAATACTGAATTGTATTATAAGAATAAAGAAATGGGGGAAACATACAGTATTATTCCTACAAGTGCCATTAGGTATGGCTTGTGGAATAACCTTATC